TATTTGTAATTATAAAACTGCGTCCCCGATTTTTCTGGACATTTCAAACGGATATGTTTCCTATCAATGTAGCCCACACAATTAGGAAATTTTCATCTATCAAAGAATTCAGCAGCGTTCTGATGGTGAAATACAGTTTCGGAAATTACTCTGCTTTTATATTGCTTCCTCAGTAGCATTTAATATGTACTGGTATGTATTCAAACGGTTCTCTTCCTCAAGCTCCATTTTCATACTGAAGGCTCGCGCCACAAACGTTCGCGCGAATACGCTTGCAGTGTGACCTCCGTGCGCTGGCCCTAAACGGTGCCGTTTGGACGGTCGCCGTATATGTGTGAAACGGGCCTAAGACGGTTTCGGGAGCGTCGGAAAGTCGACGCGGCGCGCGCGCAAAACGACGATTACTAGCTAAGACTCTGTATATTTGTTATGCTAAATAAAAGCCATGTATCCATTTCGTTACTTTCATTTCATTCCCATATCCCGAAGGAAATATTACCCGCTAACGCAGACGTATTCACGTAAAACCCACGGCCGTGTCCCCGACACAGCCACACCCCGATTTTTTCACTACAGAACAGTTGGTTGTATTGCTAAGTTCATGAAGTCATAGATGATGTGTGAGTGTAAACGTCACTGTTTTGGTTTCGGACTGAAGTTTTGTACTCAGCACTGGACGTCATCTTCCGTGTTGTTGTTCTGGGTTGTGACCACGTGTAGACTAGTAGTTAGATATGAACGTTTCAGAGAAACATACTGTTTCCATCTTCAAGGTTGGAGACCTCTCTCAATTCAAACAAATTATATCATCACCTTTATCAGGTCGGAGTTTGTGAGATCTGCTATTTGTGTTCCAAGATTTCTTTTGTTTAAATATCTTATGGTAAATGACGAATCATCATCATCATCATCGTCATAACCTTCAACAGCGATAGTAACACTTTCTTGCTCCATGGAGCCGAGTCCTTCCTCAGAAGAAAAAGACCGCTCAGCCAATCATTAATTTCCCAACACTTTATGGAATACGTAAGTTTATTACCGTGCTCACAAGAGCCCGCCACTGGTCCCTATTCTGGGCCAGATGAATCCAGTCCATACCACCCCAACCTATTTATCTAAGATCCATTTTAATATTATCCTCCCACCTACGCCCAGGTGTTCCAAACGGTTCGTCGAAGTCCGAGGCCACGTGTAAAATTTCGTAACAATTTATTAATTTTACGGGGAAGAATTGTTAGCCCACGCCCAACCCCCAAGCTGGAGGCCCACTCCATGTCGGCTGTCCCCAACTGCTTATTGAATATATTCGAAGTTGCCCTCCATATCTGGAGGAGCGTTA